AACAAATGGTAAACACCACAGCGTACACTATTGAGTTATGGATGCACGCGGGAGGTTGCTAAGCACGAAAGAAGCGTAAGAGTCGCTCGAGGCGATAGCCGAGAGCGACTCTAGCTTCTTGAGTGCTTAGCAAACCTCCCAAGTGCATCCATAACTCAATAGTGTACGCTGTGGTGTTTACCATTTGTTTTATAACATAACATTGATACATTGTAGCTAAAGAGTTCCCTTTTATTTAACAAATCTTAGGCGACCAGAAAAAACAAGCGCGCGCGGAAAAATAGTCTTTGCATTTGCTCACGTCAGCAGCGTACACCTATGGGCAAATGGGGGACGCTAAATTGACCAATCAGAGCGCGCGCTTTACTTTGGTTATGTTATAACAAGTGTTCTTGCACAAACTTGTTCTCAGCGGCAAACCAATGTGGGTGATGGACGACAGCAACTACCAGGGAGGAAAACCTCCCCGGCAGGCGTTTAGGGCGTAGCTGAACCCATAAGACCTCGTGGTCAGGGCAGCACGAAAGAGCGTCCCGTCGTTTGTATCGAATTTCAACATTGACGTAAAGGCAGACGCCACCATGATAATCAGATGAACGGTCCCTACGTAGGACTGCGTAGCCCGGAATGGCAACGATAGGATCAGCGACAGAAGAGAAGAGCCATGTCTCAGTGATAATAGCGAGGCTAACTTGGTTTCGCAAAACGAATTCATACACTTCGCTCATCTTTGGTACAACTGACATAACATTTGTAACTATGATTTTAGGCTGATAGTTTCTAAAGAAACTGTTGGGGGCTGCGTCGGTGGGGGTAACGAAATAATTTGGATACATCAACAAAGTTGAAATGGTAAATTGGCCACCGTAACGATTACAAAAGATGACGTTTCGAGCGTTAGCCCTTCGTCGGAGCGAATAGAGGAATTGTGGGTTGTGTGTGCTTTTAAAGGCAGAAAATGGAGCTACGTTAGGGACATTATAAGGGTTACTGTGAGCGAATCCCTCCAAGGATCTCGTATCCCGCGTGCTGTTCCGTACAGGGTTTGTTGTTTGATTGTTGTTGTCCCATGAAATTCTCTCGGGATCCCGCGGCTCCTTTCCACCGGCTGGAGTGCTACCAGAGAGGTGTGAAATTAAAATATTTAGTGACTCCCTTGAAGAATTATGCAAAAGAGCTTCGTCTCCGAGATTTCCAGTAGACAAAGTAGATATGTTGGAGACGTACAAAATGGATGAATTGAGACGGCTCACAGGGTTAAAATAAGGCTGCTGGTCTTGACTGAGCCTGAGATTATTTCCAAATCGTTTGCGTTGACCTCCACGGCAACCTCTACGTGTTGTAGACCAACGTTCTACTTCCAGAAAACTTCGGTCTATCCGGTAAAATCAGAATCACCTCTTTCGCATTTCACTCTTGAAATGTCATGATCAGTCAGGCGTCGCCACAAGTCTAAAGGACAACGCGTTGGAATACTCGAAGAAATAGTTTTCACAAATGATCTACAGTAGACCAGAGCCACAGGGGTGTGTTTAACTACCAGTTCCCAAATGTAGGCAGATGAAACGAATTATCTTGAGGCAGATAATTAGATGTTTCATCAGAGCGGCGCTCAAACATGCTTATAAGTCCAAGAAATGGAATGAATGATAGTGCAAAATAATTTGATCTTGGGATTTAGGTTGAGAACTACCTTTAGATTGTCAGCAGATTGCAAGGAATGGAGTAAATTAGATGACAACTCATCAGAGGTGCCCCTGGAGCAACCAAACGACAGGACAAGTAGGCTGAAGTGAATTTCACATTCATAAGTAGGTATCTGGACTACTCGTCCCTTTGACAATTAGCCCCCGATCTTCAGACAACTGGCCCCAATATGAAAACACCTATGTTACGTTGGACAAATATATTTTTATGCTCATAAAGTAATAATTTCTTGAAAGAAGAAAGTTTGTTTTTTAAAGCACATTACGAGACCGAGACTTCTGTTTGTAGCGATCGATTGTAACGTTCGCGTAAACACCTGAACGTGACCATTTTGTAATCCAGCCACAACATTTGAAGTTGCTGAAGAGAAACAGATCTAACTGTTTGTTTTTTTTGTTTTGTTTTGTTTTGAAGCTTTCTGTACTATGAAAAACAAACTTTCATCTTCTTTCAAGAAATTGTTACTTTATGAGCATAATAATTTATTTGTCCAACGTAACACAAGTGTTTCCATATTGGGGGCCAGTTGTCTGAAGCTCGGGGGCGAGTTTTCTGGGGCTAATTGTCCAGGGGGGCGAGTAGTCTGACATTCCATACGTATTCAGTCAGATTCCATAGTCTACATTACCTTGTGATTTCCTGCTGTTGTTCCTCAGCTGTTGTGTCTGTGGCAAATGGTCTTCCAAGACTTCTCTGCTTGGCCTGAGATAAAGACAGGTAAGTTTATATTCATCAATATATTCTAAATCAATAAAGCAATATATGACAGTCGGCAGCCAGCATGTCAATAATTCTAAGACAACAGTCCTTGTTTCTGGCTACAAAAAATGTAGCTTTTGATGAGTTCACTTCTTTCTCTGATTATAATTTCAGCAAAAGTCCCAACAGATTACATTTAAAAGAGACAGTCACATATTAAGTAAATTAGCCTTTGCTATATTGACATTTGAATTTGCACAAAACAGTCCCATCTCAAATGAAAGAATACTTGACTTTACCTTAAGGTATTCTATTTCCTCCTCAAGTTGCTTGGCATTCTAGAAGGAACACAACCAGATTAGAACTCAATGAAAAAGTCTACTCAATGAATGGCACTGCAATCAAAATTTATATAGTAAGGATGGCAACTAATATTTCCTTACCTGATCACTTCTAGCCCTAAGTTTCCGTTCCTTATTAGCTTCTGAAGACATTTCCTCCACCTGAGCAGCAAGCTAATATCAACAAAAACAGATGTAATAATGTTGAAATATTACTCCTCTTCTTGCAATCACAATATTTCATTCGATACACAAACAAAAATACCAACTTCCTATGGAAATGTGGTCAAAAAGAAAAATTAACATCTGCCTTCAAGATCAAAATAAAAACTTTGGATTTTATATCAAGTTATTGCAATTGTTCTTAATAGTGAGAAATGGCTGTCACCAAAAAAAAAAAAAAATTGTGGAAATCAGTACACTAGTCTCAGAGGTTTTCAAAAAAACTCACTTCTCTCTTTTTTCGGTCAGCATTGCGAACTTCTTGCCTGAGACCATCAAGCTTTTGTAGGGTGGATTCTATAAAAAAAAAAGTGTTCAGTGACTAGAAAAGAATAATACCAGATATTGAAAATTAATTTCTTTTATCATATCCTTCACTCAATTTAGAGAGCTCAACCATCATGCATTTTGGCCCATTTGAATTTAATGCTGCTTTCAAAACCAAAACTTCACTTCAGTCCCAGTTGTTCTTAAATTGTGAGGCTGAATGAAAGTCTTTTTTTTTTATCTTTTGATTTCTTTTAATTACATGAAATGCATCAGTCCTTTAAAGTCATTTCACAAGACTAGAAATAATAAGAATAATATATGTTAATTGGAGCTCCCCCTTAGTTGCTTTTCAGCCACAATGTAGGCTAACTAAGTGCTTAGTTAGTCCCAAAAAAAAAAAAAAAAAAAAAATCCCCACCGACAGGAGGCAGACCAGTGGGCTATTTACAGAGCGCAGCCGAGGAGTTGAACTAGGGGCAACTGAGATTAAATCCAGTGAGTGCCCGGGCGGAAGACTTGAACCCGGGACACCAGATTACAAGTCCAGCACCCTAACCACTCGGCCACGCCGCCTCCTAGAAATTGCTTTGCCAACTCCTAATACACTCATATCATTATCTTGATCACTCTGTCTTCACATACTGGGCTGCAAGTTAGTGAAATTTTTTTGCCCTTCAATTAATGGCATTTGTGATGCAGCTTTGAGCCATAGTAAGGGGGAAAAACTTGGTCAGTAACTTACAGCAGCAACCCCTTCAACATTAGGGAAGATATTCACATGCACCAGCGCTCGCCACTTACTTTTCAACTTACTAGCTAAGTGGCAAGTGACAACTTGAGATGCTAAGATAATTTGCAGTTTCTTTACTAGCCAGACTTGCAATTGGGAATCGAAAACCACTAGCCTAAACTGAATTTCTACTAGTCTGCACCCTTAAAATTGGAAGCAAAAGAAAAGACAAAAAGTTCTTACCCAATTCTTCCTCTTTTTCACGAAGCATCCTTGACACCTTGGTTTTCTGTGATCTTATGTCTGCCAGCTTGTCATTCAGCTCACTAAACTCTGCCATGGCTAGTTTTCTCTGGTTGTGTGCTTCTTTCAATTCCTTTTGCTGTGAGGCTATTTTTTCATTGGCCTCCTGAAGAACCTAAGGTTTCAGGCGACAGAGAGCGAGACACTTGTAGGGAAATTTACATACCGTAAAAACCCACAGATAAGCCACACCCTGAATTTAGCAGCTCAAATCTTGGAAAAAAAGTGTTTTTGAAAAAAATCCAAAGTTGAGTCTTGAGAAGTCTTCTTCATCAGCTGTTCATCGAACGCAAACTCACTATTTGCATTGCAACAGAAAATCTTTCAAAGTCTTACCCACAATTTTAGCACTTTAGTATAATGACACCATTTCTACCAACTTTGACATATGATTGATCTTTTTCTAGTATTTGTTGACAGAAAATTCATCATTCAACACAGTTTTTCCATAGATTTTTGCCTTACAACAAGAACTCAAGCAGAACATTCAAAGCTTAGTAACCAGGCATTAGATCGGACGTGAAAATGGACATTCAAAACAACTTTTTCAAATGTTCCTGCAGATAAGCCACCCCCCCAATTTCTAACAATGATTTTTGGAAAAAAAGGTGCAGCTTATCTGCGGGTTTTCACGGTAAATCTTTTCTATCAAGATTACAGTTCACAGAACAAGAAATTTAAAAGGAAAAGTACATGTAACTCAACTTACTCTTTCAATGTCCTCTTTCTCCATTTTTAAGCCTCTGTTTTCTCTATCCAAGGACCGCATCTTGGCACTCATTTCTGACAACAGAAAGACAGCATCAGACAACTGTAACTCATCACTGTAGGGCACTTACATGCCGTTTAACTGTTAACTGGCTGTACCCTATAACAGAAGAAAGCAACTGCACCCTTCATCTTTACTTATGCTTTTCAGTTTTCCTGGGCAAACAGAAATGGTGGTACTGTTTCTTGATGTCTTTCCCAAAAACACGGTCATGCAAGACACATTGATATATCAAAACACATGGCATTACCCTTGTCGCCCCTGTGACAGACTAATCAGCTCATATATGTTATCTTGTTGTTTCAACAAATTCTCTACACAAATATACAAGGAAATGGATAGCAGAAAGAAGAAAGAGTGATTAATCTGATTAGTGGAAAAAGCTTGCCTTCGTTAGTTGATTCCAGGTCTTTCCGAGAGGTCAGCACATCTTGCAGTTCTTTCTCTAAGTCAGAAGATTGAGCCTCGTACTCTGTTCATTCCAAATAAAGAAACAATCAACTTTCTTGAATGAGGGCCATTATAGCACTCTGTTAGGCTCCAAATATTTGAACCCAACACACCCAAAAAAGACACCCTCAAGTGTCTAATAAACACTCCCCTTTCCCTCTCCATCAGAACCAAAAATTGTCAAGTAGTAGTTACAGTATATTGTGTTTCATTGGTTATGGGCTTGTAAATTATAAAGGCTGTACATGTTTCCTTTTTCAACCAAAGAAATTTAGATTAAATACGTTATTCATTACATCAAGACAAAAAGAAATTGAGTTGTACCTCAACCATCAATTCATAATATGATGAGCCCCACCAGGGCTTGACACTAACTTTTCAACTTACTAGCCAAGTGGCTAGTGACATCTTAGATGTTTATAGATGTTACGACAATTTCAGTCTGTTTTACTAGCCAAACGGGCTAGTGGAAATTGAAAACCACTAGCCAAAACTGAATGTCTACTAGTCTGTGACTAGTGGGTTACCGTTAGTGTTCAGCCCTACCCACTCTGTTATAGACCCCCGCCCCCCTCTGGGAGTGTGGGAAATCAAATAACCCCTCGGGGACAAACAGGAAGGTTTACGTACAGTAAGTTGAATTTTTGTAAAAACAAAAAAAAATGGATATAAGATTCAACAAGCATCCACTTACCCATGATTTTCTTCTTCATTGATGTCATTTCATCTTTTAGTCTTTTCACTTCCCTTGTGTCCATATGATCGCTTTTAGATCCATCTACAGACAGTGCTTGATCTTGCAAAGCTTTAGTGGATTCTGTAAAACAATTCAAATGAAATTTAGTAAGCAGTATTGATAAGCAGAGTAAAGATGGCTTAACTCTCACAGGACTCAACCAGGGAGATGTAGTTTTGACCCCCCCCCCCACGGGATCATTTGCATACGGTAGTCCAAACTCTCCATTGCCTCTCTGTATCCTAGTGTGTTTGGGAATAAATATATCTTATTAACCAAGCGCAAGGGCTGTACTGGGAGAATATTGGCCCAAGGTCTTGACAGTACGGACCGAGCGTAGCTCCGTCCGTACAAAAAAGACTGAGGGCCGATATTCTTCCAGTACGGTCTCGAGCAAGCTTGGTTAATAAGAGATTTATCATATGACTGAAGTTCAAAGGGACACAAGTACGGTATAATTCGGGACCATTCGGGACAGTGTCCGGTCCAATACTGAGAGAATATTGACCGGCAATAGAGCATTTTGATTGGTTGATTTATTATTGGCCCTCTGACTGCCCAAGTCATGTAATAAAAGGAAACTTCCAAAAGAGAGGCTCACCTTGAAGCTTTCTGGCCAGTTCGGATTTCTCCCTCTCGAGCCTCTGTATTCTTCTTTCATAAGCTTCAACAGACAGCGAGCTAGGAACTTGTTTAAAAAACCAACTCAAAATTAGATTTAATAGTATAATAAAATTAAAGAAGAGCAAGGTTTTGGAATAACAAAAAGTACAAAACTGCCTTAACCAAATGGCTTTAAGAGACAATAAACATGAAACTTCTTCTCAATGTCATTCATCAAATAAGATGACAATAAGATGCAAAAGTTCCAGCTTTCTGGTGTTAAATACCTTCCCTTGGTATGCAACAATTTTTGATATCAATTTATAAGGGAATTTTTAACCTCTGGATCAGAGTATTGCTGATAAGATCTAGGAACTTCAAAGGTTACTAGTTTTGCATGTGCTTTATCTATCAGCCTCTAAGCTGGGCCTGGCTTTAAGCCAAGACCTCAAACTTGAGACACTTGGTGATGGGCTTGAGCACGTTAAAAAATCTTGAAAACTCTTACAAACCCCTTAAATATAAGTTGAGACTCAAATCTGACTTGTGCCACTCAAAAAAAAAAAAAACACAAAGATGCAAAGCATTTTATACAAATTACCATTATTTGTGACCGGTTCCAAAGTGACCTGCCCTGCTTCCTTTATCACAGAATGAGCTTTATCAGACAGTCGACTGGTGTGGGTGGAAAACATAGTAACTATATTAGTTTAACAATGAGCATAACCTCAATATCCAATTGGACTTACTTACGCTTAAAGGAAACACAAAACGTTACTCTCTTTGAACTCAAAATGTCTTAAAACCAGGACATAGAATCTAGATACTCTACCTTGAGTTCTGTGAAAAGCAGACCTTAAATAAAGTGGCCACCCTGCAATGGGCAGGGAGCACTGGCAAACAACGTCCTAAATTCGGATGAAAAGCATTTAAAGACGTTCACAAACCTGTTCTCTGTGAATGAAAATCCAATGAACGGCAAATGATGTCCAGTAAAAGGGGAAACAGATGATGGCCTCATTGCGTCCTAAAGATTAAGTTGAAATCGGTGCCAATAAAAACTATTTAGAATTAAAAGCTTACAGAACAACATTTTCACAAACTTATCTAATTCTTTTAAAATATATATATATATTTTTTTTTGGCGAGCTTTTGCAGGAGTACAACTACTCAAACAAAGACAGACAGTTAACTCACAAAAAGAAAATTGAAATTGCATGCCTGACTCCTAAACAAACAGATAAACCGTGTGGGAGCATCTAGACCACTTCTGAACTCTCTGTCATCTACATTATGTAAAAACATGATCAGAAAAACAATCACAGCACATACATTTGCTCTTGATTCATCAATGTCCACATCAAAGTTTGAAGTATCTGATGGACTACTGACTTCAGGGACATATGGTGGAACAGCTGTAAAATGCAAAACTGAACATAATCACACCTATTGTAGATGTCTAACAACTTAAAACCACGTAAGCAAGTCCCAGTTTCCACATTGTAGGACTACTGCAACCACCCTTTCCTTTTACACAAGATCTCAGCCAATTGCAGGTAACCTCCCAGCAATTAGTTGAGTTCACCAAACAGTTTTCTGTTACAAAACCAAAGGACTGAAAAGTTTTCATGCTGAGACGCTTCCTGCTTAGATCCATTTCTCCCATTATGCAAACGTCCATACCATGACAACTTGCCACAATATTTACCAGAGACACTTTGATAAGTTTCCTCTCTATCAACTCCCCCTTCCCCATCTCTTCATTGAAACTACCCTCTTGAAGGACCAAGAAATGTGAAACTCCCCCCTTAGGACTCATGAGTCCAAAAGGAGGCAGCGTGGCCAAGTGGTTAGGGTGCTGGACTTGTAATGCGGTGTCCCGCGTTCAAGTCTTCCACCCTGCCACTCACTGGATTTGTTATCAGTTGCCCCTAGTTCAACTCCTCGGCTGCGCTCTGTAAATAGCCCACTGGTCTGCCTCTTGCCAGTGAGGATTTTTAAGCTCTTAGTCTACATTGTGGCTGAAAAGCCCGTAAGGGGGAGCTTCAATTAACATATATTATTATTATTATTATCATTATTATTATTATTATTATTATTATTATTAACATATATTATTACTATTATTATCATTATCATTTACAATTTAACATAAACTTACTGTCACCAATGTCGTCCCAGTCAATTCCCTCAAAGAAAGGGTGATTTCGAAAATCATCAATCCCATTTTGACCTAATCTTTGTTCTATTTTACAACACAGTCTGTAAAACAAACAGAACAAAAGTGATCTAAAAGCACAGATTTAACTTGGAAAGTTACCCAAGCATAGGTTCTTAAAAAATATTATGGTCTCTTACAAGGGCTTGCAGGGACATAACTTAACAATGCACACCATTTAACAAAGCAAATCCTTGCAGTAATGCTCCCAACAGCAAACAAAGAGAAGAAAACCCTCTTGTCCCAAGGCTCAACACTAACAGTAGCCAAATAGCCACAGACTAGAAGACATTCAGTTTTGGCTAGTGGTTTTTTATTTCCACTAGCCAGTTTGGCTAGTAAACAAACTGAAATTGCCATAACATCCAAGTGGTCACGAGCCACTTGGCTAGTAAGTTGAAAAGTTTAGTCGCGAGCCCTGTGTCAAAAGTTGATGTAAACATTTCAACTTTATGCAGAAACAACTAACAGCAGCCAGCAAGGAAATCAATTTTTGCCCTTTGTTACATTCAATATTCTTAACCTCCCAGACTAATGATTGAAATTCATCAAACAAACCTCTGCATTAAATCTCTTGCATTATTTGAAACTTCTACATCAGAAGGGAAATTAAACTTGCCCTGCAAGAGAACTCACACTTTAAACATCTAATTATTAATTTCAACCAATTTTACTCTACCTGCCCTTAACTCCCAGAAGTGATTAACATGTAACTTCTCCCTATAATATCCATACACTATCCAGCAAACAGGTAATGAGAATACTCAAACTTATCAGGAAGTTGTTATCTCAATCTACAGTTCTAACACCAATTTCTCAAAACTAGTTTAAAAGGAAACATGTAGCTACTGGAAGGGAGATTTGACAAGAAGATCTTGGGAGTTTAAGGCTCAATTGGTCAACTCCCCTCTATTTTGATGGATTTTTTCAACAATTAATGAGAAAAACCCCCAAAGGGCCCACTCATCTTCATATTCACCCCTCAGATTGGTCAATTTTTATTAGCCATAGGCATCATTTGTTAAGGGTTTCACATCAAATAACTTTCTTGAGACTTGACTAGATCAGTAATATTACCAAATTTACAAAGAGTAACCCTTACTTTAAGTGCAGGAGACAACAGAAATACTAAATTTTAAAGACTTACCGTGTGGCCCATGATTTTGCTGTAGGTTTCCACCAAAGATTCTGCATAAAATGGAGTTTCTCCAAAGAGCATTTCATACATGCACACACCCAAGGACCACCAATCGCATTCAACTCCATATTCACCTCTCCCATCTTCCATGGCCTGTACAAAGTAAAAGAGATCATGAAAGGATAAGAATGGTAAGTTTTGAGCTCAGTAAAGAAATAGAGAACAATGGTTTTCGTCATGTCATGGCGATTGAGTGTGGAACAAAGAAAAAATTCCCCACAAGATCAAGATAGTTACAAAGGGTGAAGTGAGACCGTTTTTCTTAATCAATGTACATGAAAAATTATGGACACTGTGTTAATCTAGGAAGATCAGTCTTCAGTTTTGATAGTTAGACATACATTTGTGACAAAAGTCTGCTATAAAAACTGACACATAAACATACCTGCAGGATTTCAGGAGAGATGTAATCAGGGGTTCCCACAGCAACAGCTGATCTCACCTATTCTAACAACTTAAAACCACGTAAGCAAGTCCCAGTTTCCACATTGTAGGACTACTGCAACCACCCTTTCCTTTTACACAAGATCTCAGCCAATTGCAGGTAACCTCCCAGCAATTAGTTGAGTTCACCAAACAGTTTTCTGTTACAAAACCTAAGGACTGAAAAGTTTTCATGCTGAGACGNTGCTTAAGGACACAATGTCATGCCCCATCCAGGACTTGAACCCAGGCCAACTGACCCAGAGTCCAGCGCACTGACCACTGGACTACTGGCTGAGCCAAAGAAAATCCATGGTGAGCAAGGCCCATTATGAAGTTTAAGTGTGAAGTGCATCCTGCATATTGCTTGGATCATAATGTTGATAGCCTCATGTTTTGTAAATAGAATAAGAGAGATGGTAAGTTTTGAGCTCAGTAAAGAAATAGAGAACAATGGTTTTCGCCATGTCATGGCGATTGAGTGTGGAACAAAGAAAAAATTCCCCACAAGATCAAGATAGTTACAAAGGGTGAAGTGAGACCGTTTTTCTTAATCAATGTACATGAAAAATTATGGACACTGTGTTAATCTAGGAAGATCAGTCTTCAGTTTTGATAGTTAGACATACATTTGTGACAAAAGTCTGCTATAAAAACTGACACATAAACATACCTGCAGGATTTCAGGAGAGATGTAATCAGGGGTTCCCACAGCAACAGCTGATCTCACCTATGGAATGAAAAAGGGATATAAGAAAATTGTATAGTTCCTGGTTCAATTATTATTTCAGTGAGTAGGAGGGTTAGAATTAGAGGAATGCTGGCCAGAAGTCTCCATCACTAACTCACACAGAGCAGTTTTGCCATTAACTGGGCTGTGTATTCAGACTTCAATATTTAATTCCAATGTCAATTCCAATGCCACTGAGATGGTGCCTCACAATGGCCACTTATGCTTACCCTAACAACCTTCGCCAAATTTAACACTCAACTTGCACGATTTTATTGCTAATTCTCCCATCTAACTGCTACACACTTCCTTGTAGTTGGTTAGGAGAATTTGGTTTCAATCAAGGCAACAACTTCTACCTGATAAGTTTAAGTATTCTCACTATCTGTTTACTGGATCATGTATAGATATTATAGGGAAAAGTTACATGTCAATCACTTCTGGGAGTTAAAGAGTTAACACTGGAATAAGAAAGGGAAACACTCACAGTTCCTTTCTTGCCAAGCTTGGAACAGGAACCAAAGTCTGCTAATCTGATATGTCCACTGACGTCAAGAAGAAGATTGTCAGGCTTGAGATCCCTAAAAAAATAAGAATTAAAAAGAGTTTTAGAGAATTGTAAAGGCAAATTTGGATACAGATAATTAAGCTGCAAGACCAGTAAAGCCTGGTTTTCAAATGTCAGGAAAATCCCAGATGATTGGATATTTCACTGTTTCCTGACTGTCCCCCAGATTTTTTATAGAGATCCCAAACTGTCTAGCATGGCCAGAAACAAATCTAGGAAACCTGAAATGTTTCTTTATTTCAAAATACATCCCAGGCTTCTAAAGAGCGCCTGCCAATTGCCTGTGATCTTTTTGAAATATGGAAACCAGCCTTACGCAGACTCGCCTTCAAACCAGACATCAATGCACTATAGGATTCAAGACTGTTCCTACCTGTGCACATAGTCCATTTTATGTATTGAATTTACAGCCAATACCACTTCAGCCAGATAAAACTTGGCCATTTCTTCTGGCAAATGATCTTCATATTTACTGAGCAGAGTGAGGAGATCCCCTCCACTGTACTAATCCATGACAAAATACTATTCAAGAAAAAAAATTATTATGTTATCATTCACACCTTCCGTTCAATTGAACCTTTTCGCTGTAAAGTCATAACAAGGGTTGTGGTCTAGCAGAGCCCGGTGACCCCCGCCGACTTACTTTTGCTCTTGGGAGACTTAGGAATCATAGTTTTTTCATAAAAAGCATATGCTGGGCACCCTAGATTTCACAATATCAGAGTGCTGGGCTTCCTTTAATTTTTCTTAGAGCACAGCCTTGATATCAAAACAACATTTCTCGAAACTATTAAGAAGGTTATCACTTGCACTATCACTAGCACTCCAAGCTGTGACCATTACAAGGCTTCACACTACATGCGTTTTGAAGTTGCCACTTTGTAATCTTGAGTTATAAAATGATCACCCAAAATATCTACTCAGCAAATTCTTTATAGCCAGAATTCAAGGGTAGTAATAAATTGCATACAAATACTCATCTGTTTTAATAGTTAACCTCAATCATTGAGTAATCTAGGTCATCATGTTGGTGACTTTCCAGGCAAATTTACTTGCCAAACCATTTTTCTATTTGCCATGGCAACCGAAATGGTGGCAGCTCAGAATCAGAGTAAAAGATCAGAGATCGTGGTCTTACCAAATAATCAGCATCTTGAAAAGCATAATGCAGAGTGGTAATCCATTTCTTGTCTCCATAAACAAGGACATCTCTCTCCTCTTTGAAGCACGCAGTCTGCAATAAAACAGAAGAAGACCTTTGCTTAAAATTCTTTAACATCGTCTCCAATCCCTTGGATTGTTTGTACCACTTACTCCTTTTCGATAACTGAGATCAACTTATGGAGTTACGATGACGCAGACCATTTAGAGTTTCCTTTAATGGGTTAAAACAAATCGGTTCGGAGATACTTTCATTCCAGCTAGCGCAAGACATTTTAACTAACATTTATTATAATTGTATATGTAAATTAGCTACCTTTTAGGTTTGATTTTATTGTATATTTCCTTTACATAATTTGTACACCTTTGCAATTCAGCTTCCAGCTGCTATTAAGGTATTCTTAATAAACATCTATCTATCTATCTATCTATCTATCTCAGGAAACTTCTTGACGAGACTTGGTCATATGGAGGACGCGTATTAAGTTGAATTTGTATCCTGTGGTCACCCACTGGGAATGTCACGGTGACAACTTAATACAAATTGACACCTAAATACAGGTTTCACAGAATTAAGTGTCAAATATGATTAAAAAAAAAAAAAAACATTTGTCAGTATCATTTTTAAGGTGACAACTTCTTATGCAAATGATGACATGATAAATTGCTTAAAAGAACAATTTTACTTGCATTGCATTGGAAACATTTGAACTCCATACGCTGACATTGATTATCAGAGATAAACATGAAATAAATTTGACTTGAGAGATTACTCTTGTTTCAATCAAGTGGTTACACTTTAATGGACCCTTCAATACAGGTGGAGACCATATAAACCGGCCATTAGGACTCAATCAAGGGTAATCAAGAATTCTTAATAAAGGTGACGTATAAATAGAGGCAAAAAATTACAGTTGTTAAGGGGGGAAAGTTTTCTGACTTTTGACAATCTGCCACTTAGTTAATATAGGTTCAACTGTACTAGATGGTGTTTGCATAAAATATGTGATTTCTGCATTAACGCCAACTGTGTCCGAGAATCTTTTAGATCTACTCTTTAAAATTTCAGCAAGCCATAATAGATTTGGTAATCCCCTTGTTGAGATGAACTTGCTTTACATTGCAAAAGCGTTACAGAAACTTTTCACTGTAGAATATCAAAAAATTGCTTAGTGTAATGATATTAACCCAAGTTCACTTCCGGTTAATTACACCATTCTTGTCAAACTTGGGTCACGTACAAACTATGTGCAAACCATGACTTCCACTTTTATTCTTTTGCTCATTGGTGTTTGTTATGAGACTTTACGTTAAGCACCGTTTATCCTTTGAAGATTACAAGTTTAAAAAAAATCTAAATTCTGCCTGAAACACTGATAGACAAACTATATTCAAAAATTGTGTTTGTTATCAGGACTTTCACATTTTCAGGAGACAGTAATTAACTGCTTCATTAATTGACAGGTTATTATAATACAGTTGAAGGCAAAGTGAAAAGCAAGCTTTTGATTAAAAACACCTTAAACTCAATAGGCATGTTATGCATTAGTGTCATGAGCTTAAGGAATTCATGAAAATTGAATTTAAAAAAAGTATGTGATAGATATAATTTAGCTCACTGCAAAACTAGATTGATAAACTTTAAAGAAGAACAATGTGCTATAAAAAGAAACAATGAGATGATAAAATGTGTATCTCTGGCCGTGGAAAAATTGGATGAGAAATGTTAAGCAGGATGCTTATCTCTAATGTAGCTTGCAAAACAATTTCTTGGTTTCTTGTTAATTAAATTAAGGATACACAAAAATTAAAAACATACTTGCTGTACTAAGTAAACATACTGTGGGTTGAAATACACTTTTTTATTTCAACTACAAACAAAGAAATGAGAGGATGTCATGATGAATCTGAAAAAATGTGAGAAATTTTCTGAAAGGGCAAATAATTTTTTATGCAAAATGTTACTTCAGCTTGCATTTGGTTCTTGCAGTTACTTAGTCTTTTTCAGATTTAACAACCTCTGAATGAGCCCGAGTTGCTGAATAAACATCATTATCATGTACTACATGTTACTAAAATGAGAATCTGACACTACTGTGAACACTGAACTTAAGATATCGGACAAAACAAGAGAATGGTGGAATGTGAATTTTAAAGATAACATAGACACAGCACATTGCATGTGCAGCAGAAGATAGTTAGAATATTCACAACACCCTACAGAATCAAAACAAAAAGACAGGAAATTAAAATGATCAAGATATGAGGAGCTGTCAAAGTTGATTTTGACATTTTACATCGTTTAAACAATGTTAAATAAGATGACATATATTTCATTGTGGTCATTTCTTAACCCTATGATGCCACATTCTTCATCTCCAGACAACAAGTAAAAAAAAAGTTAAGCTATATCAATTTCTAGTGTTGCACTTTTTTTATCTTCTAGTTTGTAAAGGAATGTAGTACTAAAATCCTCATGTGACTCTACTTGTAATTTAGTATTAAACATGTATGTACTTAGGAACTGATCATATAACACAAAACAGTTTACTGTTCCTATTTCAGACATGCTGTGGATGACGTTATATATTCAGCATTTCTTAACTAACTTTGTATTTGTATTGGGGATCGAGTTGAATTATTTATAGAGCCAACAGAATGCAAACTTGCTCTAACGTGACCTGTCATCCTCGTTAATAAAACACCCCTTCTTTCAAGGCTAAGATTTCATGCTATTAATTCGATATTCAAACTGTACATCTGACGGTAACATTACGTTTACTGTACATAGAAATGATTAAGATGATGCACCTTACAGTAACCATATATTGATAATACAATTACAGCTGTTCTTTCGTTTTTCCAGAAGTTACGACAGAAGAATTATAATCATTGAAACCAAAGAAAAACGAGTACATCTGTCAGCTACAGAGGTGAACATTATACTGTATTTTTTTTTTCGCAATACAACCTCTGACACGGAAGGAGTCACGAAAAGAAACTTACGATCCTTGATTCACTTAAAACTAACCTCTCTGTTGGATCTAAACAAAGTCATATTTACATGAATATAAACAAAAGCTGTGTTTCACGATTCAGAGCACAAGAATTTCCTACTCAAAAGCTAATGGAGCATCGAAACTAAGCATTAAATTGAGTAAAGGCAGCTCAGAAATAGGAAACAAAGGAAATATCGACCTTCTTCGCAAAAACCTTCCAGGCAAACACTGCTATGTGTTCTGAGTAGAGGGAAGCCTTACGCCTGTGGTCAAAGTAGATACTTTTGGCATAACGTGGTGTATTTTAATCCGCACCGGTGCATTTCAAGTGCAAACCGAAACTGAGCGAATACCGCGCACTGTGTTCCAATTAGAGACTACTGAACTTCCATTCGTTCGGTATAACCTGTCTCGCAAACTGATCCAAACGCTGAAATTTGTCAAAAAATCAACATTTGATCAATGGTAAAGTCGCTTAGCAAACGACTGTGGATTGCAAGAGTGTCAAATAAGAACTTACACTTTCCAGACACGCAGTTTCAACTCATTTAATTTCCACAAGACCAAAGCGGAGCCAATCGTCGGGTCGAAATTAACCCAAAAGACTAAACAACATTTCACTAAATAGATGAATGAGCTACTCACCTCGGCTCTTTTCAACATTTCCCATTTGTTCAAAGTCTTCATAGCGTATATTCTGTCATTGGATTTCATTCGAACCACAGTCACCTATAATTAGAGAATTCGATAGGAAAGTTCACGTACTCTGTTAAAGAGAATTATGTTAACTTGGACATAAAACTTTATTCCCATCAAAAAATTCAGGATTCTTACTTCTCCAAACGCCCCTTTACCAATCAAGGTTAGTGGATCAAAATCTTCACGGCGCAAACGAAGAGTTTTAATCTTCGTGGCTATCGGCTTCACTGCAATGAACGCAACAACAGACACATCAGCAACCAAGTCCGCAAGCAACTGTCGCAGTTAGAATAACCGGGCTGTCATAAGCCACAAGCTCAGCGTTTCGTTTCAATGCTGATTCTTCACTTACCATTCTCAATAAATTCACTGATATTTTTGTCTCTACGAAGGGTAGAATTACAACACTCATCGTACAACAACAGTAAAATGTCTAATAAGGTCTCCGTGCTGTAAGACCCTTTCTCTTTTCCTCCGTAAGAGAAAAGATTTTCAAGTTGTTTCAGTCTTTCCTCGGCTGGTGCTTCACTCGCTGCTGCCATGATAAGTTCTATTGTCCTCGCTTCAAGCAATTAACAAGTGATCTAGTCGGGCGTACAGACTACCGCATATTCTCGGTTGAATATACACCTCTACTATGTCCTTTGGACATGGTCGCAATTGATAATGACGACCTAAAATCCTTCAAGTGTCGAACCGTTGGGCCAGCTTCTTGAACCCTAGACGCTTGAAAATACTGGTTTTAAAAAAGATCTCCAAGACCGGCTAAAGTCCGTAGCTTTGACCGATCTTAATTCGATGATTCTATCCAAAAACAATGCCTCATATGCTTTCGAAGAAACTCGGAAATATGGCAGTCATCGCCAACGGCATTGTGGGAAAGCCAAGCCTTGCATACCGCTGACGTAATGAAAGAAGGCGCAAGGGCACTATGGGTAATAAATGTTTACACGTAAAAAAAATTTAGTTGAAGAAACTTTTCAAGGAGCGTCAAAATTCACGTCAGACGAATAAAAAGGAACATAGCTCTATGATCAAAATAAATAAAGTTGAAAGGAACGAAAATATGAGAGCACTAAAAACTGAGAAGTACATCGTGAAACTATTTATTCCGAACATCTTGACCACCTCTTCCGATTACGAGATATATACCCACTCAAGCAACTTCCTACCACAAATATCAATTATTTTTAAATCAAAAGGCCATTCCACAGCAGATATATCGACTTTTATCCAGAAAACTAGCGAATTTATTAGCTTCTGGAGAAACTGCTATCCTCCGCCGCAGGGCAAGCTTAAGCCGGACTTGGCTGATTTACAACCCTGATTGAGTTAGTTGATCAAGCTAGATTCACGACAGTGGCTAATTTGAAAAGCTGACATCTCGAGCGTTTCTCCTTTGTAAGAGCAATTTATTTGTTGTTGTTGTTTGGCCACCCAAGAGTTATCAAAATCTTCCCCAAATTTCAAAATAATTGTTCCTGGCGCGCCGGGCAAGATTTTTGCTTTAATTAAAGCTACAAGGGGTAGGATCAAAGGTGTTCTCTATTTTATTATTCCCACACAGTCAAGCGCCGTTTCAACCTAATTAAATGTTCAATATTGTGTTTTCAGAAGTATCAACTTTTCAATACCGGAAAGGTCAATCACGAAACTAATTATCAGTTATTCTTGTTGCCATATTTGTCGGCCTTTAAAGGTTCTAAAGCCTTTTATATCCTGCCAAAGATTCAAAGCGTTTTCTAATGTACACAATTTTTTCACGACTCGTCTCTCTTCTTTCGCGTCTTCATCTCATCTGTATCAAAATCCACCGAGGACTGTATGTCGACATGCTTATCATGAGTAAATAAATAAATCAATCAATTAATTCTGACTTAAAAACTTTGCCCAGCCTAAAAAGAGTTTGATTTAATTGTGTTGAAACGCAAGCTGACCTCAAATTTACAAATTTACAGGATTTCTTCACCGTGACTACTAAGATGCAAAATTACTCCAACAGTTGCAACATATAACATGCATCTTTGTCTAGAAAATGATCATGATCCAAGACAAAACAAAGCCTGACTTTTCTTGGCGTCAGTCAACACAAGAGAAGGAAAACAACCACAAGGAAAAAACACAGCCGCGTTAAATGATTTGAAGTTTCCTAAGAGATTACATGCCTGACACTAAACCTTTCATTTAACTGAAGTTCCCAAATCTACCTCTTATGCACGACACCCACACATATTCTAGAAAATTATTTAATTAAAACTCATTATGTCCCGCAGCTGCCAAGATATAGACGAGTTTTACAAACACATCCTTTGTATTCACGTTTCTCGTTTTCTTTGCCTCTCAACTGATCGATAAGTTGAACAAGCAAAACGAATAATTTTCTTGAGCCTCAAGTCAACCTGATTATAAGGTTAAGACTGTTTATTTCAACTTTGTACGAATTTTCCATTTAAATCAGTTGAACATGGTTACTAGATAACCCAAACCCTTACCAATTTAAGGTATTTGGTGAATGCGACCCTAAAGATAGTTAACTTTTCTAGAACTTGGTCGTCTAAATCCTTCTTAGACCCTGCTGAGACGATGAACCTCTCATGTTTAACCAGTTCTAAGAAACTGTCGCATCTCGCAGTTTTGTTTCCAGTCCCCACCTGAATCTACAGCGAAATACCTTACCCAGAGAAGACTTAAACTATAAATTATTCCATCTTTTGGAATCTAAAAGACGTCATAACGTAAATGAAAGTTCACTTACAAGATATCGTGCAACTCAAGTGGACCGTAACTTAACCGTTCCAATATTGGGTTATTGTAAATCTTTAAATGCGTTTATCGCCCAAGTGCTTCGGTCACGCAAAGCTACTTGATCCGCACGAAGAGTGGCCATTTCAACCGACATGGGACACGTGGAATCCTATCAAATTGAAATTTGTTGTAAATTTAATTTGTTAATTGGATTTTGACAAGAGCATTTGATGAGGACTTTGTTGCTGCAAGTTCAAAAATATTTACTCAATCTGTTACAAGTTAATACGCGCAGTTTTTCGTGATCTTGTAAAATTGGAATGAAAAACTTTCTCATAGAAAAGCAAGATTAGACAGTAGTTCAAGCTGACTTGACTAAAGAAAGACCAGAAACTAGAAAAAGTGTTTTCCTACTCTTCGTTTCCTGCCATGAATTGCATTCACAAGAAGAGATCCTTATAAATGGACCGCTCTTTAACCATCGCCTGGGGGTAGTAGAGGGGAGCGAGGTGGAAGGGGGGGCTCAGAGACTTAAGTTGTGATATGATAAAATTCCCCTGATCCCCTATAACGTTCCGTAATATCCTTATAACCCCTCTCCCTCATCGGCAGTCAGTTTTATATCGCCTTCCCCCTTATAGACTCTGTTGGCGACGAATGATCCCCCCTCCATTCCCCTGAAAGCCATTTGATCCCCTCAAAAGCCTCCGCTCCCCACCCCCCTCTCCCCTAAATGGGGTCAAATCTAAGCCGCCCAAACAATGGCTGCATCCGTCGAAATTAACTTTTACCGGACCCCTCATGTTAGCCCTTTCACTCCCATAAGTGACCAAGACAGAATTTCTCCTCACCATATCAATGCAATATCAAGTAGACAAGTGACGAGAATAAAGAGAAATATCAATAAGGGGATAATTTGTTGATCCAATACCAAATTCATCAAACTAATATCATAAGAATTGTATGGCAAACAGTCCGAAGAATCACTATTGAGATCTCGGGAGTGAAAGGGTTTTAATCGCCTTATTTTGCTCTAATCTAATGACGATGTAGCATGAAATATTCGGGCAATTTTTTTTTTTTTTTTTTCAATTTTGCAAATTCGCAATTTTGATTATTCTGTGGGAAGAAACTTTTGCCGTTCCACATGGCCGCGGATGGTAACTTCTCAAGTTTTGCGATTTTTATTCAAGTAATAAAACCATTGTTACCGAGGAATGACACGTAATTTCAATGTTTTCAACTTTTATATATGTTGAGTGGAAGCACAATCTACTTACAAGGGACATTTCACCGAATTCGAACGAATAGTTCGAATATCTGCTCGATCGAGATTTCCATCGCGTGAGAGTTGGTGGGAGCCAAGGCCGCATCGATTATCACGCTAAAGATCGTGAGCGAAAGATCTAATCGTTTTAGTATAAATCTACTAGTCGTTCAAAATCAAACGACCACATAGGCTCACGTTTTTCATTTATTATATTTTGATTGCCACTGCAATGCTTCTCACTTTTCTCGCCATCTGTCACGGAACAGATAGCGAGCAGCTCGGCCAATCAGATTGCAGCATTAACTAGAGCACGACTTTCCTTTTTTCTCCATACTGGTCCTTGTACATCTTCTATAGTAATGACATGGCGAATTTGTTAGACAAAATCGAGCAACTACAATTGGCGATCACTTCCTTTAATTCTCAAGACGGTAACGTTCGATTCCTCTGTGATAGTGTAGGTTTAAGAGTTGAAAGGCAATCCCACGGGTGTTACCGAAAATCGTCTGTGCAGACAACTGATAAGAGTCGATGAAAGGTTACTCGAGCTGATAAGCGAATCCTTTACAATTGGATGAAAGGATAAAACTGGATATCTTAGATGCGATAAGATAATTTCATGTCAAATTAATTAAATGACTTTGTTAAGGTGTCATCATTTCTGGTAACCCAGTATAGTTGTCTCTGTGGTACGATGATTATAAACACTCTAAGAATCGTATACTAAAAATACAGATAAGAAGCAAACCAGTTAGTTATTCCAGGAGTTGCGCTGTAACAATGAATACCAAATCCACCTTACGGTCAATAGGGGACTCGAACCCGGGACCTTCGGGTTGAAAATCCAACCCGTTCTCCCCTCGAAAGTGCAGCTGAACTTCTATAAAGGCCTTTATACGTAAAGGCCTTTATTTTTTTACGTAAAGGCCTTTATTTTTCACAGCTTCTTTTTATTTGTGTTAATCTCCCTTATTAACTTTTGGCTAAGGAAGGTTTGTAACTCTGGTCTCTAATATCAAGGAAAAGGAGACGCTTGTAGATTTCGTGAAACAAAGATTATTCTTTAAAAAATTCTTCATTACACTTGGTATAGTTTTGAGTTTTTATTTTGTGCTAGCAAAGCGCTTTGAATTTTGAGCTAGGGCGCAACATCTTTGTTACTTATTGTTGTTATTAATGGAAATTATTATTACATGAAATAATTTTTAGAATCATCGTCATTCTCAATATCGTTATTCTTATTAATATTATTATTAGCAATATATTCATATCCATCAGCAAACATTCATTATCATTATTATCATTATTATTATTGTCATCATTGCTATGAAATGTTGAGATTACTCAAATCATTTTCCTGTAAGTTACTCACTGTCTGACCACACGCTACAATTAGGGGACATGAGTACATTGGCACAAACCACCACATCCGAATAACAAGTGTCAGAGACTGGACCCAAACTTTACCGTCAGAGCCTGGTCCCGAACTTTAGTTGAGTTTGATTGACATTGTACGAAAGTGTAGTCATGCATGTGGCCGTGAGTGTGTGTTTTTACATAGAGAAGGTGTGAGAGAAAACGAAACGGTTGTGTTTATTGAAAGAGAACTTGTAACAGTGACTTCGGGATACTAAACTTCTCAATGCCACGGACGCATTTCCGAAACAAGGAAAGAACATTGTTACTTTTGTTGATGGCCTTGAACGTAATTCCTAACAGGCATTCATTCCAACGAATACCGAGCTATTAACAAAGTAACTCATTGATAATTATGATTAAGCTATTAAATATCTATTTATTCATTTACTTATCTCTTTTCGAGCTTGCCGGCTCGAGCGCAAATAAAACAATGGCGCTGATGGATTCAAGAAAAAGACATTTATAAAAAGCTCCGCAGCGCAAATTACAAAGTTTTAAATAATCTGCTATATACAATGCTATACCATTCACATGGTATCTTCAAATTCAAAATAAGAATAAATCGCGCACGTAAAAATTCTTGCTTGCAATAGTTACTTAGAAAGTAACTATTGTTAGTTATAAAATTAAAGGTCATACATAGAACTGCAAGGGATACTCTTAACTGCAAAAGTAATAAACGAAAATAAAAAATTTTAAAAGCTAACGGCATAGGTACATGTGACTAATTATACGTATCTACGTAGTCATAGCCTTTATCGCAATGGAAAAATGTTCTTGCCCTTTTCCTTTTAAACCCTTACAGTGCTACAATTGTACTTAGAGAAACTTGTGAAGGTTTTATTCTAGTTCACTTTGTGATTGAATTTTAAAAGTGGTGCAACCCTCTGTATCAATTCCTGTAGATGTAAAACTGATACAAATCCCAATTTGGTCACCTGCGTTTTCTCACGCGATTGCGTGTTTTTACTTTGAGTCCTGATTGGCTCTTGCGATGTTTTCTTTTTTTCTGATTGGCCACTGATTTGCTTGCACAATAATTAAAAGCAGCCTATCGTTACAGAGGGGTCTCTCTCGTTAAACTGATTTGAAAAGAAAGGCGTTAGCGGTCATTAAAAAAATTATTGAAACAACGTTTCAACACTTTCTTCCGATTTTTTTCTCTCACAATTCTTGTGGTGTTTTTTTTTTTGTGCGTGTGTGTGTGTGTATGTGTTACCCCAGCCTTACCTTCTTAATTTTATCACGAACATACCTTTTCCTCTTGCACAAGTAGACAACATATGTAAAAATTCTTTCCTTCAAACTCGGAAAACTATGAGCACAAATTTTCTAGGAGGAAAAGTTGATCCGACAGGAGCCAAGCAGCTACGATATTAGGAAGGAGGAGGAGTATATCTGAGGTGATCTTAATCTACGAGTTTGACATAAAAGAAGGGTCATCCTCGGTGTAAAAACCTGACGAGGTTTCCTTTGTTTCATGAGGTATTGTTTTGCTGTACGCTATTGTTTATAATGTTTTGTTGTCTTTGTTTTACGTCACTCGTGAGCTTCACAGGTTTTTACACCGAGTATGAGCCTAAAAGAAACTATACCTTAATAACATACGTTGAAACTGTGGACATAATCACTACTAGCAGATTGGTATGTAAGACCTGTTGAAACACCACTGAACACTGAGAACAAGTCACTGGGGATTTTTTTTGTGTTGGTTGCGAATTCTTTGGGGCAGGCCTTATCTCTGCAGGGCAGACAAATCCATTGTCGGAACAAACTTCTTTGCAAGAAGGACAAACGAGTGTTCCTTGAAAGCACCACATATCGACTTGCACAGAAATATTCAAAACTTGCCCTTTGTAGAAACACGGATATTTAAGGCCTGCAGCGATTTCGACCTTCAGTGCGTCAGGTTCACAATGAATCTTATAGCACCCGCTACCAAAATTCACAGCTGTATATCGTGTGCCACATTTCTCTTTAATCCACTTGGTTCGTTGTTCAAAACACCGTGAACTGCTGTTGTAAAATTCCAATGCATAATTCAGGTCAAACGACAAAGCGTTGTGTCCTGATATACAGGAAGATGTCCTGACATCTTCTCCTTTTTGCGTCCACGTAAAGCTTTGGTAAAAGGGACAAAAATCAGCTAAGGCTACTGCCCCGCCATACCTGTCTTCAGATTCGGAAATCTCCGGAATAGAACCGGGCAAAAAATTCTGAAATTCAGTTGGAAGATCTTGTTCATATTCTACTAAGTTACATGAGGCAACGGATGTTCTGTCAAAGGAACATCCAGTCTGTGGGTCACCTTTTTTCTTTATTTTCGAACAAAATGGAGCTATGGACTTCCCAACAGCTGTTTGAGCTTTCATCCAGGCAGCACAGCTCTTTTTAGCGAACAAACAACCCAAGTTCTTGCCCCAGCGTAAAGGATCGGCCATTTCATAGTTGACAATGTACCAGCCTGAGTCCTCCATTAAGGCCAAAGTCATTCGACTAAACACAGTACTTTGCGTAGACACACCCGTCATGGCTTCGTTTTCAAACAGGCGCTTTTCCCAATGGGCTAGGGCTGTACCTTCTCCTCCTTGGTTTTCAAGCTCGGCTCCTTCTAGTGTTGAGCAGTTGAAATGTCTCCGTGCCTCCTCCCTAACTCTTGGCGTAACCATCATATAAACATCGTGTTGCAATGTACCAGACCTTGTTAACCAGTCGTTTCTCGTCACCACCTTGACAGTCTGACATGAAATTCAGTTTAAAACTTTAACTCACGGAAAAGGATTACTTTATAACTTATCTCTGTAACATCAAGTCATTATCCCGCAAACAGGAAACGAGATAAAAGTTGTTGTCTTGGTTTAACTACAAATTCTCCTAACTTATTTACAAGGATATACGTAGCAGCTAGAGGTGAGAATTAACAATCAGATCTTGGGAGTTCAAGGATTAACCAGTCACATGACCGGCCCAAGATTTGGAGAGACCACCTACAGCCGACCACCTAACAGCCTCCCGGTTAGCTCAATTGGTTAGAGCGCCGGATTGTGTTGTGCGGGAAGTCGAGGGTTCGAGCCCCGGCCGGTCCAATACTCATGGTCTTAAAATAAGTGAGGAGAATTTGCTACCTTTCTATAATATCACGAAATGGATAGATATTCTAGTCTTCTCGGATAAGGACGAATAAACCGTAGGCCCCGTCACCTACAGGGTTAGGGGTAGGAGACGTTAATTTCCCACACGAGATTTCTGCGTAGTGGATGTCCTCCCATGGGGTGGGATGGGTGATTTCCTTGCACGGCATATTGGCATGTCTTGCTAGGGACCTAATCAGCCTCAACAACCCGAGTTGAAATAAAGTTACCTACAGCATCCATCTCCCACCTTACCCTGTTGTCAGAGCTAAAATACTTTTACGAACGATGTTTCTGTTGTTCCTTGAAGTTTAAAATATGAATGAATGCTTGAATTTTTTGTTTCAAGATTAAAAGTCACAATGAGTTTTAGTGAACAGTCATGGTGTTGACCCTTTACACCCTAACATCAGTATGCATATTCTCCATACTGTTCTTGGTACATTTTCTAAGGTGCTGACAAGGAGAATTTTATTCAACAATCCAAAGCTTTTTTTAGTTGCTGATCATTTCCTTTACTCTCCTGACCTTCGTGTGTGATGCAGAGATATTGTAAGTAGAAATTACATGCTGGTCACTTAGAGCTCAAGGGGTTAATATCCATTGTGGAGGTACAAATCAGTGACAAAACAAGTCAGTGGTGCACAAACACTGGGAAATCCTTATTCTCATTTGCAAATAAGGATTTCGCTTTTGTGACTAAAATTTCTCCATTAGTAGTGATTTTGCGACCATTTTACAGCCTAGCTTATATATAAATTATATCAAACAGCCTTGTGTCTTACTTGTTGCTGGTTGCTGTAGTTTTATCCGAAAAATCCTGCGAAATCCAAGTTAAATGTTGCATGACTTTTATCATTGACTTCTTGCTGAGAAACATATCACGGGCACACTTTTTCAGAAACTAAGTCATGCAACGTTCATGAAATTACTTTTGTGACTAAAATTTTCAAACTTGCGACTAAATTTTAGGAATTACTCGCAAATTGCAATCGAGAATTTTTTTTTATTTAGAGCCCTGCTCCAAGAGTTCTCCGCAGCACGCTAACAGCAATTGTTTTGAGCCTGGGAGACACCAATGCCTAATGGTTGGTGGACTGGACCACATGATAAGAGGTCTGGGTTGGAGGCCCAGCTGAGTCAATGTGTTAAGTTCTTCGGCAAAACACTTTACTCTCTCTCCCCAGGAATATAAATGGATACTAGTGAATTGTTAGGGAGGCCTGAGGAAATGCTGGGGGGGTTACTTAGTGATAGACTAGCATCCCGTCCAAGGGGGTGGTGATACTCTTGGTTGCTTTATGCTAAGGAAACTGAGATAAGCTTCAGCTTGGTGGGTGGGCTTCTTAGCTTGAGTACAGACTTTAACCTTAACCTTGACCTTAACCTTGACCTTAACCTTAACCTTGACCTTAACCTTAACCTCAACCTTAACCTTGACCTTAACATTGACCTTAACAATGACCTTACCAACCAGCCTTGTCTGTCTCCCTCAGCTCATGGACATTAACTGTTGATTAAGTCTGTTTGGGTTTGACCACCAAATAAGCTGAATCCTATCAGTTTCAAGGCTGAGGTCTAGCAGCGCCCGGGGGCTCTAGCGCCTTACTTTTACTCTTGGGCGACTCAGGAATTTCAGTTTTTTCATAAAAAGCATATGATGGGTACCCTGGATTTCACAGTTTCAGAGCACTGGGCTCCATTCAATTTTCCTTAGAGCACAGCTTTGAGTTGCATTTGATTGGATGGGTTATGTCTTACCAATTACAACAATGGTAAACAGACTCCCTTCAACAGGTGTCAACAACTACCAGCACTATACAGACAACTCATTCACAACATTTACCCAACAAAGGAATGCAAACAGAGCAACCTAACATTAACAACAGATTAAAACTGACAAATCATGACCAACTAATACCTTTAGAGTTTCACAGCCAACAACATCACTATTTAACTCGGGGCTCAACACTAACTTTTCAACTTACTAGCAAAGTGGCTTGTGATATCTTAGATGCTACAACAATTTCAGTTTGTTTACTAGTCAAACTGGCTGGTAGAAATCAAAAACCACCAGCCAAAACTGAATTTCTACTAGTCTGTGGCTAGTTGGCTACTGTTAGTGTCGAGCCCTGTTAACTGACCAATCAGTTTACATGAAAATCGCACTAGTATAACACTTGATTGACAACAACTTTTCTCTTGACTCTGATGATAACTCCTGCTCAGGACAAAACATCAAAACATCATTCACCACGACAAACAACAGTCCATCTCAGGACTGCCCTCGCCAGGATGATCAGACTACAAGATCCCGTTATCCCCACATTAAAACCATTTACTATTATATGATTACATAAACATAATCCCTAATTCTAGTAAAGTAAAACCTCTTCAATGTAATGTGTCAAATGCCTGACCTGTTCACTCCATTTGTAGTGTTTTAGCACAGGATCGAACTCTTTTGGAAGTCCATTGGAACGACGAGCAGTAAGTGGCTCACCACTGTGATTGCGGAAGAATGCAAACAATGATGGTGCAAATCCAAGAGCATGAAATATTTCATGTTTGACAGTTGCCAAAACCTAAAGAATAAATTTTTGTAGGATTCTCCATGAATCATAATTAAAGGACATGACTACAAAACATAACTAACTGCTACATTTAGCTAAGGTATACTAAAAAATAACTCAGAGAGTGGACACAAGAGAAAAACAACTAACTATATATCTGCCACCATGTTGAATGTAACTGCTACACAAGGGAACTGGAAACAATCATTTCACTGGCTAGCGCATACCATCAGCGGGGTTTTGCATGCAAAAAATTTTGAATTTACTCTCATGCTGTCACATTGCTAATATTTGTTTTGTTGAAGGATGGCCTTATTCCTTAAAATTGCAACCAATCAGAACAATGCAAAGGGTTATTATATGAGAACTCACACTTAGGTGTTTTCAATTTTAAAAGCCATCATATTAGTCTCTCCCACCTCACTGTAGCTGCTTCTCAGTTCACTTGCAGTCACCTTTTTCGGGCATATGTTGATAAATCCTACTACGGGTCTATCCAATCCACTCTCTTGTTGACATGCCGCTCCATACGCTAAAGTCGTTGAACTGTTTACACAGTTTCCATGAGTAACTGCTGTGACGTAAAGAATGAAATCTGTGTCTTTGTGCCCTTCTCCGGCAGTGAATCCAGGCTTTGTGTCGTTGCGACAGTTCTGGCCATTCACATCACAAACCCTACACTGATCTAAATCGTGTTCTGGAATTTCAACTGGTCCGCATAATATTCGAGAAGAATTGCATGATTCTTGACAAAATCGGACCCTCCCTGGTCCATTTCCATCGGCATTTTTGGAGAAAAACGTCTGGTTAGGACAACTCCTTTGAAGAAGAATCGCCGACGTTGTCTTACGGACTTTCAACGTTCTACTAAAATAGATTTGTGCTTGTTTCAAAATATCCTTCACCATGCTGGGATTTTCTAAATTGTTGATGTCGAGAAAGTCCAGCGAAATTCGTAATGGTTGATCCACAGAGCGTCTGTTTAAGATATGCGATGGTTCTAGTGGAATGTGTCGTATCATTTCGTCGTATTCGTGGATCAGATCATGTGACAGAGTGAAAAACCCAGCTAAATATGACTGGACCATGCAAAAGAACAACAAACCATCAGCCGCCATGTTGAATGCAACCGCTGTGTGTGGGAACTGGAAACGATCATCGCAGATTGTGGGCGTTTTGTTTCTGTCAGCTTGGTTTTGCACGCGTAAAAAAAAAAATGGAATTTATTCCGTACTCTCACAGAAAGCTAAATTTTTATTAGCACCATCCTAAAGTTATGTGAATCCCTAGTTTTTGTTTTGTTGAAGGATGGTGTTATTCCCCCGTAAGGGATCAGAGAAAATTTAGTAAAAGATTACTTAATTAAGCAAACCACGACGGCGAACAGGGACGGTAGCGAAACAAAAGATCTAATTGGCAGAACAATAGATCAGCACGTGCGTTTTAAAACTTAGCACATTTCTTAGTCGTCCTTTGCAAACAACAATGTGAAATCACCAAAATTTTCGTCGTCTGCGAACCGAAACCGCGATGGCAAATTATTTCAATTTCTATTTGGAACTCAACGCTACTTTTATACGTTTAGCTTAAACGTACACAACTTTACCTAGCGCTTGACTTGAGGCAAACGTGTAAGAGTAGACGCGTTTTATTACTTTCAAGTAGTAAAATCCATATTCTGTCCATCTCCACTGGAGCCCTAAAGATAAATCCCAGCAATAAAAGTGGTAGGGCTATAGCCCCTCCCTCTCTGCGGTCCCTGTGCATCAAAAAACGACCAAAAACAAAAACCTTGACCCTGTAATCCAAAAAAGCGACTGACATCTAATTTCTCCCAAATGTATCATC